ATTTACATAGCTGTTATACATTAGTGGTTTTCAATGTTACATAACTGTTATACACAGAGTGGTTTTCGATGAACATATAGTGAATTACACTAATTTAACAGTGGTTTACACTAATTTAATAATGGATTACGTTAATATTATTGTGGATTATGCTTATTTTATAGTAAATTTTTGCTTTAATTCTATAGTGTTTTTCGATAAATTTAGTGGTTTTCGATGAGTATGTAGTGGATTTCAATTTTTTTTTTTAAATATAAACTATTTAAAACACTGAAGAAAGACAAAACAATTTTTGTTTTAAATTGTAAAAAAAAAACTATTAAAAAATAAAAAAAAATGGAAAAACATAATCTAAAATTAACTGTGAGATATGTGATAGGAGAGATAATAGGGGATGGTGTGAGATAGAGGAGATAATAGGGGGATTTGCATATCTACAAAAAATGGATTGATTTTTCCACAATAATATAATATAGTAATTTCAGTAATAGTAAATAGGGGTATTTTGGATAATTAGAGTTAATTGGATTTATAACAAATATCAATTAAAAAAAATGGATTTATGAAGAAGTCAAAATTCAATGAGGGGTGTTTGACAAATAGCCCCTTTATTTATAGGTATCTAGAAGATGTTGTGCTAAGAAATAATAAAAGAAACAAATCATTTTTCTACTCTATTGTGATAGCCGAAAATTAGAGCTTCTTAAGAACCCAATTTTTGGTGCAGGGCGGCTTTTGAGAATAGGCGAAGTAAGCGGTCACCTAAAACTCCAATTTTTGGTATATTTTTTAGGGGCCCAAATGTTTAAGAAATTTTTAGAGAACAACAATTATTTTTTTTACACTTCATAATGCATTTTTTTTACCCTTTATAATACATTAATGTAAAATTATGATATTATTTATTTTCTTGGGCTCTTATGATTAAATAATGCTAATCTAATCAGTTAATTTCTAATTTTGTTTGTTTCCAATCAGTAATTTGTACTTTATCCAAAATTCTCTTTATTCTTTGTGTTTATATTGTTCCTTAATTTCTTTCTTCAAATTCAAATACCTAAATTCAAAATTCTTCAAATGCCTCTCTTTCTTGTGTGAGAACAATTTGTTTCAAAATATACATGATATAAAATAAGATATTGATATGGAGATTAACTTCTTTCTTTCACTGAAGGTACTATAAAAAAAACCGTCAGAAGAAGCATTGAATTACTTGAAACGATATATTATAATTTTCCGTAGCATTAGTTGCTTATGTAAGACTAGGACTATACTAGTTATAGTTGCCTCTGGAATGACATTTGTCAAAGTTGAAGTTCATCAAGTCTTAATTCACTGTGCTAATTACTAATGTGAGTCATTTTATTCATGAAATTTAAACATACATGTATAAGACGCAATTTGCATTGTACGAATGACAAGAGAAATCGATGTTGTTTGGACAGATGCGAAAGAAAAGAAAAACATCGATCGTTCCTTGACGTGGTTGTGCATGTGAAACTTGTATCCTTGTGCTTTTTTAAAGGGTCTTTAGAAAACTACAAATGGCCACACATGCTGGTTGCCAGTTTGTTGATGGTTACATATGCCATACCACAAAATAATTGCATATTATATTTAATTAAGAATATCGTCTCTTCATTCATTATAAATATTAAATTGCAATTTATTTTATTATGAACAAACAAAATTAAAAGGAAAACATGTTCAAACAAATAGT